CCGTAATTCTCAAAGTTTAACTTTGTTTCACGGAAGGTTAATATTTAGCAGAGGTTCGTCACTTTCCATTCTTATTTTTAACAACATTTTGTTCAATATGTGAGGTAGACGGACAGCTGTTAAGCTGTGCGATGAACACTGCAGCTCACTCAGTGGCCAGATCGGAAGCACTGCAATGAAACCAAGTACCACTTTCGTTTTTCAGTGCCTTGCAGCTAGGCGATTCTTCGCTAAGAGGTGCGCCATTTAAAACGCATTTCTGGGGAGAATCATAAGCTTTGAATCTTGTGACGTCACCAGTCGATGAACAACAGCGTTTCTTTCAGAACTGCGCGTTTCATTGTCTTTCAAGGCCGGTAGTGTTAGTAATCATGGGAAATGCTGCAACAAAGAAACATTTGTAAGTTCATCTGTCAACCATCCAATCTGAAATCTACCAGTTTACCTAAGGAAATGACGTCATTCCTGAAACATTCGACTGTCTCTTGGTACCGATTTCCAGGCAAAGAAAGACGATTGGTTTCAATAGCGAACGTTTTAGTTCCGTTCGAGTATTTTTCGAGTTCGCTGAAAGACTCTGAATTTACGGAACATTTGAGAGTAAAGTTATTTGAATGAAAATCCGCATTCAAAAGTATAAAAGTCACTGAAAATGGTGGAAATATTCTAAGTCACAAAGATTTTGGCAGATCTCAAAGAAAGAATTGCTTTCTGGCTTGAATCAATCATTAGAACAAAACGAGATTTCGAGAAACCTCCTTTGTCTATCGAAAGAACTAATTGATCGCCTTCCCTAGAGCAGGCACCATTTTACTGCCACTACTATCAAAGGGTTTCATTCATTATCCATCGCTTTCATTGTTGGTAATTTTTTCTGAAGTTCATAACGTTTCTGTACCAAAAAATATATAAAGTACTTGTTTTTGATTCAAAGACTCATTTTTGACTTTTTCTCTTCAGTCCACTTGGTATGAGTTTGATCGTTGCAGATCAACCAGAAAATCGGGGTTACTATTCTTTGCTGCAAAATTTTCGACAAAACAATGTTGGCCATTCTCATGTCAAAAACTTTTTTCTTTTGACAGTAGACTACTGTTTACTTTAAGACTGCAAAACTATACGACACAGTGCGAGAGTGCTGCGAGACCAAACACCGTGACATATCGATTTCTGTTAATTTCCATTCAACCAGAATGGGCGGTCGATCCTCTATTCCATGAAGCTCTCTAAGCGATCAACCGATAAACATGTCGTAATAACAGGTCAGGCAAAATAGCGGTCTATCTTAAATACAGTTTTAGGCCAAGGCAACGGTTCCTTTCTGACTACACCAGCATAATGATTACCTCTTCATATTCGATCGCCAGTAGAAATTGAGCCTTTACTGCCTACTTTCGGCCAATGTAACACTACAACTTACAAGAATGATGGTCCGTACAGTACTCTGTACTTTAAATCAAACAGTCACGAAATTATCAATTTCAGCATTTCAAATATTTCAAACGAATTGGCATAGGCAACGTTCGTCAACAACTAGACATCACGTCCATACCTCTAGGCAACCTCGAGGGAATCCCAAACGGTTCGTGAGTAATGCAATCGTAATCGTGCTTCGGCGAAACAAACCAAAAAACGGGTAACAAATCTTCATGATACGCGAGCAACAGGGACGACAATGTTGTTCCACAGCGATCATATCAGAGCTTACGAGAATGCTACCGCACTGTATGATTCGTGCCACTTACAGCTTATTCAAAATCAGCATATTACGTGAACCGTAAATTAACTTATAACTGAATTTGTACATGTTCTCATGCACTGTATATCTCTGTATACTTTAACTCAGTATATATCTGTTCTCATGCTTTTACAACAGAATTTTGTAGAAGAACACTCAATTAATCACTACAGACAAATAGATCGGGGCGTTCTAATTACCACGATAGAATGACCAAATTAATCCAACCTTTTATTTTTTGACACGGGACCATGATATCAGACTCGACGTATTTGTCACATGCTCTATTCTTTGATACAAAACACACAACCCCTCAGCAGATAAACAAATACAGTTTTATTTAGAGTTTTGTTTCCGATTTGCAACGGCTTGTTGTTTAGACAACAGGAGTAACTGAAGTGGATGTTGCGTGCTAGATTGCCATCGGCGGTTCGCTGTGGCATATCACACCTTGAAAATCACTAATTGATTACTGTAATTTGCCTATCAATGGTTTGCTTAAAAAAACGCAATCAACAAAGATGGCGAAGCATTTCGTTGTATATGTCTTTATGAAGTTAAATCCCCAAAAGGTCAGTTGACCACTGGCACAGGTCAACTACTGTGAAATTAGGGACTTTACCTTCCAGTAGCATTGCGTTTTGGCTGCTCAGCACTTCCGTCGTAATTGTCAAAGCAGACGTCTTTCCTCTGTTTTTTTTTGAGGCGGGTATCATGGGAAACTTGTCAAAAATGCTTTTACCTATGTTTCAAGATAAAGAAAAAGAAAAACCGTAGTTCTGTGAAAAATTGGTCATCCAAGAGGAAATTTTTTGAAGCAAAGCGTTAAAACCTGAAACCTGAAGTATGCGCAGATGAGGTGCGGCTTTGGTGACTTAACATTTGCTGCTGCCCCTTCTGATAGTAAGGATGTTGAATAGCGGCATTCCAGTGTTAATGTTAGGGAAGAAAAAGTTTTGACTACTTTACGAAAACCCCGTTTAAAATCCTGTCTTCTGCAAATCTGCTAACCGGTGCTTCGCAAGAAATCTTCGGCGAAGTAAACTAAGCCGCAGAATGGCACAAAAAATGACAGCTGTTAAACTGAAAATAGCTTCAGAACATTCTGTTTTTCGCCAAGCTTTCTTGCTGGCACAAATTATTTCTGCATTTGCATCAGTTCATTACTGAGAACAGCATATGGTACTGTCAAACTTTCTCTAATAAATGCATGGCAGTTCACCGAGGAGAAAAGCATTGAGTTTAATGATACCTCCATTAGCTAATCAAATTGCTAAATAGACAAAATTCAATTAAATGAGCAAATTAATGCCTCCATCTGCAAGAAAGAGCGGCACAGAGAGAGGAGGCGATAGATGAATAAATAGGCTTATCAAATTGTTACCACGACGGTTTCAAATTTATCGTGTTGTTCCAGTCTGCAAAGTTTTGAAAGTCATCCATGAGATGCAATCTACTGCTTTCATTCAGCTCCCTTATATACGTTTTTCGCTTTCACAGCTCTGCGTTTCGTTAGTACTCTTCATTGACCAATTTGCATCGTTTTCGAAAAATTTTCTGTTCATATATTTTAGACGTGTGAAATTATTTTCTTCATCTCCACTTTTGTACTTCATCCATCTTACTAGCAAAATTGCCTGAAGATATAGAGAATTTTGAGAGATCGAAAATTCGAGAGAGAATTTTGAAGTAATGTGACTCAAGGTTTGGCTTCCATGACCTCAGCCTCGCTCTCGGCTCAGATTTACTCCTCCTTCCCCTCAAACAATTGCATAAGCGTTATCCAGTTAGACAGACAGATAATTCAAAGCGGGACACGTCTAATCCCTATGAAGGGGACAATCTGTGAAGACATTTGCTTTGGACGGTCAAGCTCTCTCAGGATGCCAGAAGTTGTTCTGCAAGACGTCTTGGCAAAGAATTCGATCGTTCCACGATGTATGATATGATCTTACCAATTGTACCGGCGGATGTTGAAATCGTTGGCTATTCACGTCG